GCCAGTCTCTGCTCCCTGCCAACTCGCCTTGGGGCAAAATGTGGCGAGCTATAAAATTCTTTTAGTCCAGTCAATTCCAGACACCTTTTCAGAAAAAAAAGTGCAAGTGTTACCAAAGAAATAAGTGGTCGTAGGACAATAAGGTATTAAATTTTATTTAAAATCATTCTATCCTTAACTGTTCTAAGTTTGTCTACATATTATAACCTATTAACTACTTGCAGGAAGCCATAATTCTTTAACAACTGAATTTTTTAAAGAAACCAAACTGATAAGTAAATAACATATTTGACCTTAGATGAGTATGCTGTTTTTGATGCTTTCATGTAAAGTTAAGGTTCTTTGTAAAAAAAAAAAAAAGATAAATATTAAAAGTACCATTTTAATGTTCAAATGTTTCTTTTATTCCAGAAGAAATTTATGGTAAGGAGAATTAAGCAAGAATAAATATCTTTATTTTAGCTTGAAATTAGACTGCATCTATCATAATTAGATGTTGAACTGAAGTCTAAGGTATCTTTCTTCTGACCAAACAGGGTAATAATTCTATACTTAATATCTCTAAAAGGTTATATTTTTCAGTTGAAATGATACCAACCTTAGAATTACTTATTTTGAATTTTGGAAGGTCATCAGTGTTCTAGATCTAAGATCTATCCATGATCTGAAATGTCTTAGAAGTGAACAAATGGGTACTTCTTACTTTTGCTTAATTACCACACCTACCAAGAATATTTTACACTTAGAGTCTACCAATGCAAATAATAGTTTTCTGTTTCTGGAATTTTCCTATTATGTAAATCAATTGCATTCTGAAGAGCAATGTTGGTCCAAGTGAACAGAGATGTCCAAGAAATTTAGCCTGTGAGGAAATTAATTAAGAAAGCTTGTCAATATCTTATTAGTTGTTGATTTTAAGAGGAGGAACTGAAAATCTCTCTCCTTTTGGATATGCGAAGGAAGCCTGTAATCACATTGCTTCTGATAGCCTTCTTGTGACTAAGATTCTGGTGTCTAAGATGGCACCTGATCTCACCTCCTTCCAAAGGCACACCAAAATTATAAAAATTGCAGAGCAACTATTGATGAGAAAGACCTGAAGATGAGCAGAAAAGACCTTCTATAATTAAAGATATAAAGAAGAAACCACATTGAGATAAGTAGGAAGGGTAGAGATGTGGTATAAAGACCCACAGCCCTGGGGTAGGCAACCCACAAATGGGAGGATAATTACAACTGCAGAGGTTGTCCCCAAAGAACGAGGGGACTGAGCCTCACATTGGGCTCCCCAGCCCAGGGGTCCTGCACTGGGAAGATGAACCCCTAGAACATTTGGCTTTGAAAGGCCATCAGGGCTTATTTCAGGAGAGCCAGAGGGCTACAGAAAAGAAATTCCATTCTTAAAGGGTGCACACAAAATCTCACATGCTCCAAGACCCAGGGCAGAAGCAGTCATTGGAAAGGATCCTGGGTCAGACCCACTTGCTGATCTTGGAGAGGCTCCCAGAGAGGCAGAAGGCAACTGGAGCTCACCCTGGGGATACAGACACTGGTGGAAGCCATTTTGGGGAGCTGGTTCTACCACGTGGAAACTGGTGCTGGCAAGTGCCATTTTGGAATCCTCCCTCTAGCCTATTAGCCTCAGGACTCTGCCCTGCCCCCACCCACCAGCAGGCTGGCTTCCTTAGGACCCCTTAAACCCCCAGATGCCCTGTATTGCCAGTACTAGATCCAGGATCAACCTCACCCACCATCTCAGGGACCCCTGGGAACTGCAGCCAGTGACCTCAGGTCCTGGTTCCACCTACCAGTGGGCCAACAGCAGCGCCAGGACCCTTGCAGCCCTGCAGCTAGAGATGTCAGAACCCAGCCCTGCCCACCAGAGGTCAACACCAGCTCCAGGACCAATGCAGCCCTGCAACCTATAGTGTCAGGACCCAGCCCATCCACCTGCAGGCTGGCGCCAGCCTTGAGACCCATGGGCCCCAGGACCACCCATTAGAGGGCCAACACCAACACCTGGACCCCTAGAGTCCTGCATCCAGAGACCCCAGGACTAGCTGCACCCACCAGTGAGCCAGTACTAGCCCTGGGATTCCCTGGGCCCCAGCCCTGCCCACCAGCAGGCTGACAACTAGACAGCTTAGGCCCCTCAGCCAGCTGCTCTAGGATCTAGCCCCACTCACCAGCAGGCCAGCACCACCTTTGGGACACCCCAGAACCTGCAGCCAGTAAAGTCAGGAACTGGCCCTGCCCCCAGCAAGCTGACACTAGATCAGGCACTGCAAGCCCCACAGTCAGCCACCCTGGGACCTGGCTCTGCCCACTAGAGGGCCAGCACTAGCCCTGGGATCCCCAGGAGCTCTACACTCAGCAGCCTTAGGACCCTGCCCTGTCCACCAGCAGCTGGCAGCCTCCACATAAGGCAGGGCCTGGAAATCAACTGAACTGGGGGCCATCCAGGCCTACCAGACTGCCCACAATAGTCAGCCTGCTACAACAGAAGGGCTCACTCAACCCACACTGGGGGCACCCCTAGGGCATATAGCTCTAGTGACCAGAGGGCATTCTCCTACAAAAGACCACTTCTCCAAGATTGGGAAACATAACCAACCTACCATAAACACAGAAATAAAAACAGTGAGTTAGGCAAAATGAGGCTACAGAGAAATATGTTCCAAACAAAGGAATAAGATAAAACCCCAGAAGAACTAAGTGAAGTGGAGATAGGCAATCTACCTGATAAAGAGTTCAAGGTAATGATCATAAAGATGCTCTAAGATCTTGGTAGAAGAATGCACGAACACAGTAAGAACTTTAACAAGAGTTAGAAAATATAAAAAAGAATGAAACAGAGCTGAAGAATAAAATAACTGAAATAAAAAATACAATAGAAGGAATCAACATTAGATAATACAGAAGAACAAATCAGCAAGCTGGAAGACAGAATGATGGAAATCACTCAAGCTGAACAGAAAAAAGAAAACAGTTTTTTAAAATGAGCATAGTTTAAGATACCTGTAGGACAACATCAAGTGTACTAACATTTGCATTATAAAGGACCCAGAAGAAGAAGAGAGAGAGAAAGTGGCAGAGAACATATTTGAAAACATAATAGCTGAAAACTTCCCTAACCTGGGAAAGGAAACAGACATCCAGGTCCAGGAATCACAGTGGCCCAAGCAGGATCAACCAAAGAGGAAGATGCCAGGGCACACTGTAATTAAAATGGCAAAAATTAAAGATAAAGAGAGAATCTTAAAAGCAGTAAGGGAAAAGCAACAAGTTACGTATAAGAAACTCCCATAAGGCCATCAGCTGACTTTTTAGCAGAAACCCTGCAGCAGGCCGGAAGGGAATGGCATAATATGTTTAAAGTGATGAAAGGGAAAAATCTACAACCAAACTACTCTACCCAGCAAGGCTTTCATTCAGATTTGAAGGAAAGGTCAAAAGTTTTATAGACAAGCAAAAGCTAAAAGAGTTCAGCAACACCAAACCAGCTGTACAAGAATGTTAAAGGGACTTCTTTAAGACAAAAAAAAGGTCACAACTAGAATTATGAAAATTATGAAAGGAAAAATCTCATTGGTAAAGGTAGTAACATGACCACTTATAAAGCCAGTAGAAAGTTTAAAAGATAAAAGTACTAAAATCATCTATATCTACAATAAGCAGTTAAGGGTATGTAAAACAAAAAGATGTAAAATATGGTGTCAAAAACAGTAAATGTGGGTGGGGGGTGGTGAGTAAAAATGCAGGGTTGTTAAAATATGTTTGAACTTAAGAGATCAGCAACCTAAAATAATCATATATATATTTTTTATATATGCATATAAAATTATCATATATATTACTATCTATAAACCTCACGGTAATTACAAACCAAAAATCTATAAGAGATACACACATACAAAAGAGAAAGAAATCCAAACATAACACTAAAGTTAGTCATTAAATCACAAGGGAAGAGAAGAAAGGAACAGAAAAGAACTACGAAAATAATTCTCAATTAACAAAATAGCAATAAGTACCTACATATCAATAATTACTTTAAATGTAAATGAACTAAATGCTCCAATCAAAAGACAGAGAGTGGCTGAATGGATACAAAAACAAGAACCATATATACATTGCCTACAAGAGACTCACTTCAGATCTACAGATGCACACAGACTAAAAGTAGGGAGATGAAAAAAGGTATTCCGTGCAAATGGGCAAAAAAGGAAAGCCAGAGTAGTAATAAGTATATCAGACAAAATAGACTTTAAAACAAAGACTCTAGCAAGAGACAAAGAAAGACATTGCATAATGATCAAGGGATCAATCCAAGAAGAAGATATAACGATGGTAAATATATATGCACCCAACATAGGAGCACCTAAATATATAAAGCAGATATTAACAGACACAAAGGGAGAAATTGACAGTAACACAATAATAGTAAGGGACTTTAACACCCCACTTACATCAATAGATAGATCATCCAGGGAGAAAATAATAAGTAAACACTAGCCTTAAGTGACACATTAGATCAGATGTACTTATGTATATGTAGAGAGCATTCCATCCAAAAGCAGCAGAATACACATCCTTTCAAGTGCACATGGAACATTCTCCAGGATAGATCACATGCTAGGCCACAAAACAAATACCAATAAATTTAAGAAAACTGAAATTATATCAAGCATCTTTTCCAACCACAAGGCTCTGAGACTAGAAATCAACTACAAGAAAAAAAAACACAAAAACCATAAACACATGGAAGCTAAACAATACACTACTAAACAACCAATGAATCACTGAAGAAACCAAAAAAGAAAATTTTAAAACTAACCTGAAGGGGCTTCCCTGGTGGCGCAGTGGTTGGGAGTCCGCCTGCCGATGCAGGGGACGTGGGTTCGTGCCCCGGTCCGGGAAGATCCCACATGCCGCAGAGAGTCTGGGCCCGTGAGCCATGGCCACTGAGCCTGCGCATCCGGAGCCTGTGCTCCGCAATGGGAGAGGCCACGACAGTGAGAGGCCCGCATACTGCAAAAAAAACAAAACAAAACAAAACAAAACATGAAAACAAATGAAAACAAAAACACAATGATCCAAAATCTACGGGACACAGCAAAATCAGTTCTCAAAGGGAAGTTTACAGTGATACAAGCCTACCTCAGGAAACAGGGAAAAAAACTCAAACAACCTAACCTTTCACCTAAAGGAATTAGAAAGAGAAGAACAAACAAAACCCAAACTTAGTAGAAGGAAAAAGAAATCATAAAGATCAGAGCAAAAATAAATGAAATAGAGGCTAAAAAAAATGGAAAAGATCAATGAAACTAAGCTGTTTTTTTGAAATGATAAAGTCAATAAACCTTTAGCCAGATTCATTAAGAAAAAAAGAGAGAACACTGAAATCAAAAAAATCAGAAATGAAGAAGTTACAACCAACACCACAGAATTATAAACAATCATAAGGGATTACTATGAACAATTATATGCCTATAAAAAGGACAACCCTAGAAGAAATGGACAAATTCATAGAAATATACAATCTCCCAAAACAGACTCAGGAAGAAATAGGAAATATGACCAGACTAATTATCAGTAATGCAATTTAGTCAGTAATTTAAAAAACTCCCAACAAACAAAAGTCCAGGACCAGATGGCCTCACAGGTGAATTCTTCCAAATATTTAGAAAAGAGTTAACACCCATCCCTTTCAAAATATTCCCAAAAACTGCAGAGGAAGGAATGCTTCCAAACTCATTCTACAAAGCCAGCATCACCCTGATACCAAAATCAGACAAAGATAACACAAAAAATGAAAATTACAGGCCAATTACAGGCCAATATCACTGATGAACATAGATGCAAAAATCCTCAACCATACAGTAAAAGGATCATACACCATAATCAAGTTGGATTGATTATCATACACCATAATCAAGCTGGGTTTACCCTAGGTATGCAAGGATGTTTCATATCTACAAATCAACTAATGTAATCTACCACCTTAACAAATTGAAGCATAAAAATCATATAACCATCTCAATAGATGCAGAAAAGGCTTCTGACAAAATTCAACATTCATTTATGATAAAATTTCTCAACAAAGTGGGTATAGAGGGAACATAACTCAATGTAATAAAATCCGTATATGACAAGCCTACAGCTAACATCATACTCATTGGTGAAAAGCTGAAAAGTATTTCCTCTATGATCAGGAACAAGACAAAGATGCTCACTCTCTCCACTTTTTTTTTTTTTTTTGCGGTACACAGGCCTCTCACTGTTGTGGCCTCTCCCATTGTGGAGCACAGGCTCCGGACGCACAGGCTCAGCAGCCATGGCTCATGGGCCCAGCCACTCCACGGCATGTGGGATCCTCCCAGACCGGGGCACAAACCCACAACCCCTGCATCATCAGGCGGACCCTCAACCACTGCACCACCAGGGAAGCCCTCTCCACTATTATTAGACTTGATATTGGAGGTCTAGCCACAGCAATCAGACAAGAAAATGAAATAAAAGGAATACAAACTGAAAAGGAAAAATAAAACTGACACTATTTGCAGATGACATGATAGTATATACAGAAAAATCCTAAAGAGACCACCAAAAAAACTACTAGAACACACTAATGAATTTGGTAAAGTTGCAGGATACAAAACTGTTGCATTTCTATACAGTAACAATGAACTATCACAAAGAGAAATGAAGAAAGCAATCCCATTTACAACTGCATTAAAAAGAATAAAATACATAAGAATAAATCTATCTAAGGAGGTAAAAGACCTGCACTCAGAAAACTGTAAGATACTGATGAAAGAAACTGAAGACAACATAGATGGAAAATATATCATGCTCATGGATTGAAAGAATTAATATTGTTAAAATGACCATACTACCCAAAGCAACCTACAGATTCAGTGCAATCCTTATGAAAATAACAGTGGCAGTTTTCATAGAACTAAAACAAATAATTCTAAAATTTGTATGGAAACACTAAAGACCTCAAATAGTCAAAATAATCTTAATTAAGCTGGAGGTATCATGTGCCCTGATTTCAAATTACACTACAAAGCTACAGTAATCAAAGCAGTACGGTAATGGCGCAAAAACAGACACTTAGATCAGTGGAACAGAACAGAGAGCCCAGAACTGAACCTATCCTTTTATGGTCAATTAATACAATGAAAGAGGCAAAAATATACAATGGAGGGACTTCCCTGGTAGTCTGGCAATTAAGACTCCATGCTTCCACTGCAGGAGGTGTGGGTTCGATCCCTGGTCAGGGAACTAAGATCCCACATGCTGCGTGGTGTGGCCAAAAAGTAAAAAAAAAAAGAGTATACAATGGAGAAAAAGACAGTCTATTCAATAAATGGTGTCGGGAAAACTGGATAGCTACAAGCAGAAGAATCAGCTGGCCTACTCTCTCACAGCATGCACAAAAATAAATTAAAAATGGATTGAAAACTTAAATGTAAGACCTGAAGTGATGAAAGTTCTGGTAGAAAACACAGGCAATAATCTCTTTGCCATCTGTATTAGTAATTGTTTTTTGGATGTGTCTCCTCAGAAGTGAATTGAAAGCAAAAATAAACAAATAAAACTACATCCAACTAAAAAGCTTCAGTAGAGTGAAGGCCACTTACTGAATAAGAGACAATATTTGCAAGTGTTATATCCTATAAGTGGTTAATATCCAAAAATACACAAAGAACTCATACAATTCAACATCAAAAAAACAAACAACCCAATTAAAAAATGGGCAGAGGACCTATATAGACATTTTTCTAAAGAAGACACACAGATGGCCAACAGGCATATGAAAAGATGCTCAACATCACTAATCATCAGGGAAATGCAAATCAAAACCACAATGAGATATTCCTCACACTTGTCAAAATGGCTATTATCAAAATACAACAAATAACAAGCATTGGTAAAGATCTGGAGAAAAGAGAACTCTCATGCACTGTTGGTGGGAATGGAAATTAGTGCAGCCACTATGGAAAACAGTATGGTGGTTTCTCAAAAAATTAAAAATAGAACCACCATATGATCCAGCAACTCTACTCCTGGGTAATTTATCCCAAGAAGACAAAAACATCAATTTGTAAAGATATATGCACCCCTATGTTCATTGAAGCACTATTTACAATAGCCAAGATATGGAAGCAACCTAAATACCCAACAATAGATGAATGGATAAAGAAGATGTGGTATATATATACAATGGAATATTACTCAGGCATTAAAAAAGAATGGAATCTTGCCATCTACAACAACATGGATGAACCTAGAGGGTATTATGCTAAGTGAAATATGTCAGGCAGAGAAAGACAAATACTGTATGATTTTACTTAGACGTGGACTCTAAAAACAAAACAAGTGAATAAACATAAAACAGAAACAGAGTCACAGATTCAGCGAACAAACAGGTGGTTATCAGACGGGAGGGAGTTGGGGGGAGGACAGAAAGAGGTAAGAGAGATTAAGAGGTACAAACTTCCAGTTGCAAAATAAATATCATGCATATGAAATGTACAGAGAGGGGAATATAGTCAATAATTATGTAATATCTTTGTGTAGTGACAGATGGCATCTAGACTTACCATAGTGATCATTTTGTAACATGTAGAAATAGTGGATCAGTATGTTGTAAGACAGGAAATAACATAATGTTGTAGGTCAATTATACTTCAAAAACCAACCAACCAACCAACCAACCAACTCATAGAAAAAGAGATCAGATTTGTGGTTACCAGAGGTGGGGGGTAGAGACAGCAGGGATTGGGTGAAGGCAGTCGAAAGGTACAAACTTCCAGTTATAAGATAAACAAGTATTAGGGATATAATGTACAACATAATAAATATAATTAACTCTGCTATATGTTATATATGAAAGTTAAGAGAATATATCCTACGAGTTCTCATCACAAGAAGAAAATATTTTTTTCTATTTCTTTAATTTTGTATCAATATGAGATGTTGGATGTTCACTAAACTTACTAGTGTAATCATTTCATGATGCATATAAGTCAAATCATTATGCTCTACACCTTAAACTTAAAGAGTGCTATATGTCAACTACATCTCAATAAAATTGGGGAAAAAAACCCTGCAATAAAATAGGTTAAAAAAAAAGAAGAGGAGAAACAGAATTTAAAGGAAGGTAAACCATAGAAGGTTGGTGGTATCTTAGAAGTAGAATTTTAGATTTGGAAGTGACCTCAACCATTATCAAGTTATAAATGAGGTAATGGGCTCACTGAGATTCAGTGACTTGCCCAAGGTTTCAGAGACAGTGGAAGTTTAAGGAATACACCAAAGTAGCCTCAAGTCTAATCTTTCCTTGACACTAGCCCAGTGCTGATAACCACTCCATAGTAATCTCAATGGTTTGTAGCAGCATCAGAGTCTTTTCTAAAGCGATCTAATTACGTGCTGATATAGATAAGAGGTTTGCCATCTTTTTCTGTAAGGGCCAGATAGTAAATATTTTAGGCCTTATGGACAACAACCAGTCTTTGTCTCATTTTTATTTTTTTATTGTAACCATTTACAGAAGTAAAAATCATTATTAGCTCAAGCCCCAGTTAAAGGCTTAAGGCTAAATTTGGCCCCTGGGCCAGTAGTTTGCCAATCTTTGTTACAGGTCAGAGAGTGTTGGTCAGCACACCTTTCATTGACCCAGAGCAAAATAAAAAAATAAGGTAATATAGTGAGCTAAATTCATTCAGTTTAAAGAAATGCCCTCTGTTCTGAATTCATGTCCTTCCTCAATTTTGGGAGAGAGAAAAGCATTAAAATGTTTATGGAATAATGGAATAATGATGATATAGTTTTTGTTTGTTTTTTATGATCTCAGTTAAAAAGAAAAAAATTAGTTACCTAAGTCCCCATAATTAATAATTATATATATTATTGATACCTGAAACCCCAAAGTCTAAAAGAGTACTTGTGGATATTCCCTGCTCCTAAATAAAGCATTTTAGGCTCTTAGAGTATATCTAAGTGGCATATACAACTGA